CCTTCACATTGGTATCCATTTCCTAGGTTTAGCCTTTACAGTAGTACTGTTGAAGATCTGTGTTACCTCTCTGCTCAGAATTTCCAAGTAGGCTCTGGCTTCCAAGTTCTACGGATTTACACAGCCCAAGGACTTATTTTAGGTTTGCACTGCCCAGTACTGGTTTGCATTCCTCTGTATAACAGGTTACACAGATGCCCCAGACCTGTCAGTCATGCTGATGCGACCATAGTTACAGATATCCTATCCCAACTGATCGACAGAATGCTGTCGCTGTAATACTATCTATATATTACATAGGTGATTATCCAAATTTCGCCATCGGTGGGTTTTGAACTCACAAGCTACCACTTGGGAGTATAACAACTTATTCACTTCACTAAGTCACCACACCCTCTTTTTTTTGTTCTTTTGATTTAAATACATTTAAATGAATTCATAAATCTTAATTCTGTACAAACTTTCACAGTTCTTGTTGTTTTACATATTGAATTAATAAACTGCATTTTTCTAAAGCAACTAAATAAAAGATTTTTTCTATTTCAATATTGCTTTCATTATCACTACTACTGGAATCAGATTGGTGAAAGACCTTTTCAATAATAGCAACTTCGTCTAAAACAATCTTTTCAATTTCAAGATTATTATTAACACAGATATAATCATTAGCAGACATTATATGCATGTAATTAGAAGGAATCTCAAAGATAAGATTCTTAATTTTGGCTTTAACATCATCTTCAGTTTTGATTTTAATTTCAATATCAACTTCAATATTGGCTTCTGATTCAGCTTTATTATCAGTTTTAACTGTAATATTAATTCTAGTTTCATTGTCTGCTTTGATATCACCTAATATATTTTAATTTAAATTATTCTACTCATTTAATGACATTATCTTAGTCTTTTTCTAATAATTAATGATTGTTTGAGGCATTACATTATTTCATTCTTCTGTAATGAACCTAGTTATAGTAATAAAAGTTAGAAAACTTTTTAATTAATTAATTATTAATTTATTAATTTTATTTTTTTTGAATTTAATTTTTTTAATTTAATTTATTTAATTTAATTTATTTTTAATTCGATTTAATTTATTTTTAATTTAAATTTATTATTATTATTATTATTATTATCTTTTTAAAATTTTAATTTTTTTTTATTATGTAGATAATCATTTTTTATTATTACCTGATTACATCTAATACGTTAATATAAAATATTTCCTTGTTAGCATTAATTGCATCTATAACATTTTAGAGATGCAACTTTTGATAATAAGCTTTAAATGAATGGATTATTCTAGCATTATATAGTTGCAAATAAAGTGTTGTATTAGGCAGCAAAAAATGGAGTGCAACATGAGTAAGTTTATATTTTGAATGAGATGTGGCATTATTGATTAATACAAGAATTTTTTTATTTTTGATTCTATACATAGTATTCACAGATTTTATCTATTTTTCAAAAATATTTCCTGTTATCCATGCTTTTTTGCTAACATTATAGTTAATACCAAGATTTTTTTTCTGAATGCCTTTGAAATAATATGAATTTGCTGATTTTTCAATGACCAATGGTTTAAGCTTATCTGTATCAGTTGCATTTATACAAAGAAGAATGTTATTCTTTATTTATTTTTTTTTCCTTTAACTGCTTTTGTTGCAAGCATCTGAACAGACATCATTCTATAATAGAGACCAGTTTCATCAGCATTATAAACATTCTCAGGTTTATATTGTAAAAGTAATTCAATCAACTTTTGCTTTTAGTTAGCAAAGTCTTTAGTAGGCATGCTTTTTGATTCTCTATGAATCTTAAATTTTCGAATATTATTCTGTTTTATGAACCTATTCATCCATCCTTAACTTGCTTTAAAATCATCTTTAGGTATATTTAATAACTCTGCAAATTTTTTGGCTTGAACTTGTAAAAGTCTATCTATTAGTATCCTATTTTGTAAAAGGATTTGTTGTGTTCAAATAACTATAGCATTTTCTAATTCTGTAAATTTTGCTAGCTAATTAACTTTTTTTTTCCTTAGGTTCTGTCAGTTGTATAGACAACCATTTATCACTTTCCTTCAGAATTTTTAAAATTGTACTTTAGTTACAATTATGTCTACAGCAAGTTGATCAATGATAAGAGATAGAATATCATGTTTTCATTGACATATTTCTTGTTTTGTTTTAATTAGCATGGTCTTTCTTTTTTTTCATAGTTCTGATTCTTTATTTATTTTTATTTAATTTTTTTTTTATTTAATGTCTTTATAGAATATATAATTTGAATGATACAATTTTTTGTTTTTTGATTATTTAAAAAAACTTTTATTTATTTTTATTTATTCATTTTTTTTTTTTTTTTTTACAAATCAAATTATATATAAACTTAAATTACAAGTAAGCTAAAAGTATGAAGGCTACTAGTTAAAAATATAGGTTTTTATATATTTACTTCATGACAATGATATCTTTTTTTACTATATTTTATTTTTACTTTTATATGTTTATATATAGCAAAAAATCCTTAAAAAGAAATTATAATCAGCCCTTTTTAAATGCAACCTTTCTGAATGTGGTCTTTGATTTTTGCCCAAATATATTCCAGACTCTTAAAAATATAATTATTCTTATTGTTTTCTAGATACAAATGGTTAAAAGTTTGAGTTTCTGTGAGTTGCATTTAGAAAGACTTAATTATACTAGATTAATATATCTTTTATTTTGCATTATGTATTACTACATATTTTGCCATTGTTATATGAAACTTTTTAGATAATTTTATGGCTTTCAATTATAAGATTCTATGATGAAATATAATACATATCATATTTCATAGTCTAAAGTGCTCTCTGTAGAATTTTATTAGCTATGCAGATATTTCAATAGTGCATATCAAGTATTTACTATTGTATTATATATAATCTTGTTTATCAGCTATCTAAAATGTGAAACATATTTATGCATTTGATATGCATTATTGAAATATTTGCATAGTTGATAAAAATTCTACAGGAGATACTTTAGATTGTAAAATATAGTATTAAAAGAACAAGATGCATGCATAAAACTTAACTAAAAATTAGGGCTGTAAGTAAATTTTTTTTATTTTACTTGTTCTGATTATTTATATGTTGTGATCAGTGTTGGGCAAATCAGTGGTTAAGCAAAAGTTTACTAGTCAAATTAGTTTGGTCAACTTGGTCAATTGGTCAAACTGATCAAATTGGTCAAGTTATTTATTTATTTTTTTTTTTAAGTTAAAGTCCCTATCTTGGGAGTTGCGATGTTTTTATTCAAGTATATTAGGAC